TAAGATAATTTCATTGTTAAATAACCAAATCATTTCACTTACTGTTATATAGTTTTATTTTAGAACTAGCAGAATGTTCTCTAATGAATTAGGCTTTTATCAACTTCTATTAAGTATGACGTCAATATGTTTCAAATATGTGTTATATCCTTATCTAAAAATATTTTACAATTGTTTAATCACTTCGCATATAGATTATAGTTGAACTTGTAATTATGTTCAATATGCATATAAAATAGAATTATTGATTAGATTTCAGTGAAACGAAAAGTGAACATTTCTTGTTCACAAAAATTTTCAACCCTATTTTTATTTTTATTTTTTGCAATTTCATGCGATTGGCACAAATGTTGAATGCATACTGTGCGGAGCTCTGGCTTTGGAAGTTACCTTATTTCTGTACTAGTTACACTGTAAAGAGTCATTTTCTCGTTGGTATTTCTGTATATTCCAGTAAAAAGTTGTGAGATAGCGAATTCTACTTTTTTATTACGGTTTAGTTCATTTATGAATTTTTAGTTACATTAAAACACTAACTCATCTTCTAGCTGATCATGTTTATTTTGAATAAATATGTATTTATTATGAAATGGACACCAGCTTCCCTAACGGTGATGTACATATATTATTAATGTAGCAAAAGATTATGTAAATTTATGATCACATGAGATGTACTCTCGTTACCTAACGAAGTGAATAAATACCCTGTCATAAGCTTCATAACTGAGTCACGAGATATTGAATTATTGCTGTTTGTTACTCGATTTTGTTATTAATACAAAAAAGGATTTTGGTATATTGTGTTGTTGTTTATTGGAATTGGGTTTTTATCTTCTTATGGATCTTTTTTCTGATTCCATTATTTGAAATAATTAATATTGATATTTATGTTTTATTGTTCATTAACAGTAACATTAGTATCAAGTCCTGACCAGGCACATGTTTATTAACTACGTTTCTGGTAAGCGCTAAATTTTATTCCAAGTGTTGTTACAGTTTCAAAATTTCACACCCAATTAACGATACAACATTTAATATCATTAAATGTTTAGTTGAATAGAAAAATTAATATTTTTATCGTACTATTAAAAGTCATTTGTTTGTCTATTTTAGATCAAAGCCACGTTTGGCTATCGGCTGAGAAACCCTGGTTGTGGCAGCGTGTTATGTTAGACCGTTATAAAGTGGCGTTAAGAATTCTTTAGACATGTACACCAGCCGTGTAGAGGCTTAGAAATACTCGAAAACTCTGTCTCCCTAGTTTTTATTAATGAGATGAAAAGTCGAGTGGATGACAAAGGCATTCTGGGGAAGTCGACTATTCGAAATGATGATTGGTTATCTCAGTTTAGTCAGACGACATAGACATCTTCACCCAGCACAGATCTTTCTTCCCACGTATAGAAAGAAGGGCGATTGACTCTCGTCTTTGTACACATGCCTACTGGTTGAATTAAATTATTTATATTGTGTCATTATGCTACTAAATAAATATTTTATGTTTTATTGTGAAGCTGTGTTTAGTGCTTTCTCTTAATTTAATTGGAATTCAGTTTAACTCTGCAATGCATTTTTTTGCTGAATTTATAATTAAATTGGTTATTACGAAGGTAAGGAACATTTTAGAACCTTATCACGTCGTTGCAGTCCATGTCCCCTCATCTGGTCATGCTATATCTGACGACTGTACATCTTGACAATAACCCTGCAACATAGCTTCCATTGTAAAAAGGCTCATCTTAAGGCTGTCACACTCAAAGCACACTCATCCTCACTTCAGCTTTCTATAACCAATCTTGTGTACGAGAACTATGGTTTTCAAGCGCTTGTTTCAACAGTCTGATTGCACAGAAATTCATATAGGCTGCGTGGCAAATTTACGAGTATTTCTTTGTATGGAACAGCAAGAACACGCGCTTCATTCACCACCTGCTTGATGTGTGTGACGGTTGGAATGTCTTGGAAGCAACTTGTGTACTTGTGACCTGTGTCGCTTTACCAGACATAGATGTTTCTTGATTATGTTGTGTACTGTTGTCTATGGCACGTGAACGGCTTCTGCAACTGACCTTTGTATTCATGGATTCTCACCTCTCACAAAATACTGCATATTGGTTAAAACAGTTGGGAAAGGACGCGTAGCAAGTCTCTTTCTGGATGGTTTTGATGCTCCAAACTGATCCATTTTCCTTGTTTTCCAAAACGCATTATAAGTACAAGGGATATCCTCGTCTTGGAATTTCTAAATCCCCGATCTGAACATATCTTTATGATCTGAGTGTATCAATATTTTACATAGGAAGGGGCTGCTACATACCTTTCCCAAAAGCGACCAAGTTTCGGTTACACCATACTACCCAAGCAACAGCAACAACGTCAAAATGTCTGAATGCATGAATATTTTGCTTTGGAAATGGCTATTACGCAACGCCAACAGTGTCAAAATGTAGTTCTGATACATTCCGTTCTATCGCGACTTTATGTCTGCCGTGGTTGTTACGTGACTTGTTGATTTATATGTTTAAAATCGTTTTAATATAATGTACTCAACTCTGTATATATGTAATGTTTACACATAGTTCACTATCACTTATGAAAGTGATTATTCGAAACTAAATATCGCAAAGTGTTAACATACTTTCACTTTACACTACGTAGATAATAAACAATTCCCACAGTTTATATTTACATTTAATATAGCACTTTTCACCACCAAATTTATATTAAAGGCAGACATAAATTATATAGAGAAATATTTTAAATCTATTTTCAGAATACTTCTAGGTGAAGCTACGAAACCAATTACAAAAACAGAAATACAAAAGTGACATTGTCTAAAAGGTTAGATTGCGGCGGGTCGTAAGGTTCGAGATTCGAACCGCGACATGCCGTTGAACATGCTGCGCACTGTTAACTGTGGAGTCATCAGTCCGTCATTCGATTAAGAGTAGTTGCGTATTCGGCTAGTGCTGCTGACTAGCTGGTTGCCACGTTTTAGTCAGCAATCCTTAAACAGTGAGAACTATGTGTTGCATAAGATGCTGTTCGGATAGCAAATGCCAAACTATCAAATACCATTATCTAAAAATAATATTCATAATTCTTAAGTGGGACAGCGGTAAGTCTACGCTACAATTCAGAGTTCGATTCGATTCCCGACAGTGGACACAGCATGCAGCGCGATGTGGTTTTTCTCTAAAACAAACAAACATAATTCTTAAATAAGAGAAAAGGATAATTTTCAAATTGCTTTTATCATCAATATTATAGGGAATTAACCAATCAAAAAATATCCAACCAATTACGGTATCAAAATAAATAATAATGCGAAACAGGTGGGCTAAAACTTACTGGTAAAGACACGTGTACTTTTAAATGTATGAAACGAGGTGATCGAAAACCAGCAACAGGAGGAAGAGAGAAAAAGAGCGCACAAGAACAAAATTTTAAGAAATGAGCATAAATTGAAATAACTTAGTATTTTTCAATGAAAGTGTGAAACTGAACTCCATTTTAAGAATAAATTTGTGTTTAAAACACCTAATAAACTCAAGACACGACTTCAACTACACGGGTGAAAGTATGGTACAAAACTAGACTTTATTAGAAATATGGTTTCTAAAACCTACAAAGCATAATCGTATTAACTTTAAAACTTACCACCCTTAAAGAAATAACAAAAAAACTCCATGCCTAATTCTGGTGACAATTTTACAGGATAAAATGAATCAACCGCTAGGTGAACAGTCTCTCTTTGTAATCTATGACATATTTTTGTTGTATTACAGAATAGGGAAGAATCAAGCAAAAAAGTAACCTATTTGAGAGAACCTATGTTGGATACAATGTTCACTTGAAAATGATTAAAAGTTATAAATATTTGTATGAAGTGTGGTAACATTTTCTCTGACAGTGGGTGAAGAAACACATACAGTAAGAAAACACACTGCCTATGATAAGCCAACAGTGTTTTAAAATTAACGAAAGAAGGAAGCACAGCATTTAGCTTAGACATTTATAAGTGTTACAGTCTTCTTCTTCTTTTGGAATTTTAAGCGTCCATCTTCATGATGAAGATGTTCTACAAAAATAATTTCTTTCAAGTAATGACCAGTAAAAATTATGGGGATTCACATGTTATGTATAAAAGAGGCCCAGTATACCCAGAGAATGTGTTCGAAGTTTGCATTTAATTAACTAGGATACTGTAATATCCGATTCTTTGTCATAAAGTGAATGACTTATTACTGTTAACAGCCGCAAAATTCACAGATTCAATATAATTATTCATAGCCCGTCTTAAATGTTGAACAAATGTCTGAAAAATAGTACATTCAAACAGCTTTAAAGAACAGTACTGAAAGATTACTCGTACGAGGCAGTGATGTCAAAAAGAGCGCGGCGTATCATAACGTGTAAGGCATAACGATACAGTGTGGCAAATATGAATGCAGCATGCTTTGACGATTTTGAAATGTGATGCTCTCGGTGCAATAAGTTCACTTCAGGAACAGCAGCCACTCCTCATTTTTCGTTCCGAAAGAATGCTCCGTTCCATATCGACTAATAACTAATAACCGAGAAAGTAATCAGTATAGGATTAAATACTGTCCGCCTACGATCTAGCAGTCTGGAAAAAAATCACTGTGTAAAATAACTAACAAATATTTTATTTTAATTCCTAACATTTAAGGTAAGCAAGAATTAATTTACTGTAGCTTGATGCTAAATAAGTTCACCCAATTTTACCCTCCGATTTTAACCTCAACTTAAATATTCAGCCAATATCGTCCACACACACACACGCATACATACATACATACATACATAAATACATACATATGTATACGAATACATCATCATACGTTAACAACTTCTTAAAGTATAGTTGCATCAGCGTGGTAGAGAAATATAAGTATCTCGGGAACTCGGATTTGGAGAATGGCAATCTTTATCACAAGCTACATTACAACAGTGCTAACTATTATATATTTACGTACCTCCTGAAATGTTGTTTTCCGTCTCCACTTTTCTTCCCGTGTCTCAAAAGCTCCTAGGCCCTCGATATCTTCTTCAGTGAATACTTAAGAAAGTAGACTAGAACAAACAATAGTGTACTGATGTATTCGATGTTCTCTAAGCCTAACTGTGGGTTATGTACGTCTTGTTTATTTATTTACTTTTATTTACGAATTCTTGAAAAGTATTGCAAACCTCTCTATGGTCAGCTGAGTTGCTTTCTAGAAAAGCACCTTGCGTCTTGATCCTACTCTAGTCGTTATGGTATCATGCTGATTTCGAAAGCAGCAATATTGCCTAATCTGCACTTTCATCTTCACTGCTGTCCACTGAGGGCGCCACTGTATTACGAAACGGTTGACGCGTTCATCTCGCAGCCAACTGGACCAACTCGAGATGTTTTGTTCTGACAAAATTGATTTTTTACTCTAGCTAAGAGGCGATTTTAGCTCACTGTTGAACGAGTACTCCTGCTTTAATCCCTTCCATGCTATGCCGCCATTTCAGGTATTTCAAAATCTGCTTTGAAAGATTTGGGAAAAAAACAGATTAATATGAAAATAGTTTGGGCGTCCTCCACGGGTTTTAATTTCCAACGCATCGTTGTTGATAAAAGTGGAAACCTAAAACAAGTCGTTGGCTATAGCTTTTCAATGTAGTCGTTTATATTCTAATATATTAATTTTATCGGGATTTTTCATATTAAAATATTCCTTGCTAAAATTAACACACATTTTAGTGTAATTAAGTATGCTTTCAATATTTCATCCTGTTATTTATTCGTCAGAAACAGCAAACGAAAATGTAGAAATCAAATCATTTATGTCATTTCTAATTTCTTGTCCGCTACATTCTAAGCCATTTATTTTTTTGAAATAGCAGCAATATCGAAAAATGCTAGTATTTAAAGTTTGTTTATGTGTGTTAGAGAAAAGCCACATTGGGCTATCTGCTGTGTCCACTGCGGGGAATCGAATCCCGGATTTTAGCGTTGTAAGTCCGACAACTTGCGGCTGTCCCACTAGGGGACAGTATTTAAAGAGTGCATATTACACAGTGGAGATAATTTGTATAATATTATTCGGAAATGTTAGAGATGAAACCCAAATCGTTATTAACTTCACGTATTAACATGAAACATGTTGATTAAACAATATCTACGTAACTGGTTACGGAAACGATGAAGTCAAACTCAAAGAAGTTTAACGTTCCACTGGGATTCCCATGGTTTATCTCATTCCCTTGTTAAATGGACATCCTTTTTGCATTTCTTATAAAATCAGTTTTATACAAAAGTAAAACTCCTTTTTTTTTACCGACCGTAATTGATTGGCAGTGGTGTCCTTTTAGCTCGAAATGTGTAGTTTATCATGACTAACAGCAAATAAACAAGCTTTCTGCTACTGTCACATTAATTTTGCCCCAAGTGGCTCAGGGTTAAGTCTGTTGACTTATAACACTAAAAACCGGGATTCGATACCCGTGGTGGGTACAATACAGATAGCCCATTGTGTAGTTTTGCGCTTAACGACAAACAAACAAAAACATACTTCTTTTAATCATCTTCTTAGTCAAACGATTCTCTTTTATTTATTATCTTATATTTCTCAATCTATTTTTAACTTTCGAACTAGTCGCTTCGAAATTACCAACTTGTTTTAACATTTTTTGCAATAATTTTATCCAAACTCCTTTATTAGACATCTAAGCTCTATTTTTTTAAAAACCAGAGGATCTAACTTTTATCTTCTTTAGTTATAAGGCTAGAAATACCTCATAAGACCGGCTTGGTTGCCAAACATCCAATTGGCACGGCACAAAAAAAAAAGTTCGACTGTAATATTCTTTTTTTTTCTTTGCAGATGAGTCGTGTTCCATCCTTCAGCGAGATAACATGCTTATTCATTTGGAGAGAATCTAGAACCAGATATCTTCCATTTTTATAAACATACAAGTGGGTGACGCACAATGCGGTAGTGGAAATATGAACCTTTGTTTATTAGCTGTATTTTGCTCAAAGCTACTCGAGAGCTATCTACGATAGCCGTCCATAATTTAGAAATGATAGCCTAGAGATATGAAACCAGTCAACATCACTCACTGTTAACTCTTATGCTACTGCCCCCCAGTGGCACAGCGGTATGTCTGCGGACTTACAACGCTAGAATCCGGGTTTTGATACCCGTGGTGGGCAGAGCACAGATAGCCCATTGTGTAGCTTTGTGCTTAATTACAAACAACAACAACTTCTGCTACTCTTTACTATCGAATAGTGAAATTGACCGTCACATTATAATGCCACCACGACTGAAACGGTGTCCATGTCCGGTAACTGGTTTCGATCCCGCTTAACTACAGCCTATTGTATAATAGTGTTTACTTCTCCTTGAAGATAAAAGAGATCAAGCGAACAGAATGGCTTTCACGCCCATTGGGATGTATTTTCATAGAGGATGTAAAGAATGTTCTTGAGAAATGCTTTACCTTCCATCAGATGACTCCAAACACTTAGCATGCCAGAAGACAGTTATTTCAGGACAGTGGTGTAACTTTGGTTTAAAAAATGGGGAAGGGGCAGTTTCTGTACCTAAGATATGCATGAGGGACATGTACCCCCCTAAAAAATATACTTATTGTCGGGAATAACTTAAAATGTCATCAACAATAATTTTCAACACTCAACAATAGGTGCCAGACTGCCCTCGTTGTTCGTGTTACTATACTCTTTATTGATGAGAAATGTTATGAGTTATAAAGATGTAGAACTACATTTACCAAATGTTTACTTTTACTAGCGTAAGCTGAATGACCAATCGTACTCATTTTTGATTTTCAGAAGCCTGATTTGCATTACAATGAACTGAGGGGTGTGATTGATACAATTTATAACAGTGGTTTTTACCTGGTTAAACAACGGAGTTGTATAACACCACAAATTCAGGTGACTCCTTAATTGTGTAGAGCGATACATGACGTTTTCCTGCTAAACTATATATTCAGGAACCAACTGCTCTTTGTACAAGGTCTTCAATCCTATAGAAACCATTACTTCTCTCCTATGAAACACACATTGTCAGTCTCGTTTGGTGATTTAGTTTGTCTTATTTATGTATTTCCACAGCCGGATTCTAACCCGAGACCTCTCCTTTCGCACTCTAGGCGAGTACTCTACCAACTGAACTATAGGGTTAACCCAATAACACTTTTTAACAACTTAGACTATACTATTATTCCATAGGATTTTAGTACATTCGCTGTGCCTGATAGTGTTTGCATATCGTATAAAGTTAATCTGTATTAAAGAATACAGTTGATCACACTGTTTATTCTCTAATTCCCCTTATTTTACGTCATATTGTTTATTTGCAAGCAGTCCCATTTGAAGTTCCATTGATTTACAAACTATCTTCCAAGTTTAAGATAATCGAAATTAGTACTTCCCCAAAAGCCCCCCAGTGGCACAGCGGTATGTCTGCAGACTTACAACGCTAGAAACCGGGTTTCGATACCCGTGGTAGGCAGAGCACAGATAGCCCTTGTGTAGCTTTGTGCATAATTAAAAACAAACAAACAAACTTCCCAAAATTATGAAAATTTTCTGATAAACGTTTGTGTTAGATGGTTTGGTAGTGTTTGTTGCTGTTAAACTCAATGGGCCATCTGCTGTGTCCACCGCAGGAAATCGAACCCAGGATTTTAGCGTTGTAAGTTCGGGGGCTGGGGGGGATGTTAGATGCGAAAAATGAATAAAAAAACAGCTAATAAGTTATATTTGAATATGCTTCTACGACATGCCTACAAAATATATATGTCAGGCTCCAATAATATATTCTTTTAGTTTTTTCATCGTCCCATTGTAGTATTTAAGACGATTTTAATAGTGAAATTTATTCCACTATTTAATGAAAAAAGCAAAAGAAAATTCCAATCATAGTTTTATGAAAAGTACAGTTTATTTACTTTTTCAGTTAAATTAAATCGGATTAGTAGTTACGGAGTTGTATGTAATTTTCTCCACGTTTTTTTAAAGTCTTCTTGTGGTATTTGATTAGTGATATATAATCGATATTTATCACACAGAGGTATACAAGGATTATCTACTCAGAGCCGTCCCTAATTTTGAACTAATAGGCTTGGGAGTAATTCTTTGTTTTCGTATAATTGCGCAAAACTGTTCGTGAATTATCTGCACTAGTCGTCTTTGATTTTGAAAAAGTGGACAAAAGAGAAAGTGCAGAGAGTGTTTTTGTACCAGGAACTTTCGGATTTACAGTTCAAGCATTCTAACCATTAGGCCACACCCAGTCCGATTTCACAGAACAGTTACCAATCGTCCCAATAATCTATTGAAGCAACTATATTTCTATTAGACTATACTATTATTCCATAGGATTTTAGTACATTCGCTGTGCCTGATAGTGTTTGCATAGCGTATAATATAGTCTAAGTTAATCTGTTGGTAATTAAATTTCAGGGTTAAATTGATTAATTATTCTTTTGTACCATCAGTAACCATGATGAAATATAACTAATCGATTTATGGCTTAACTTAGATAAAATAAAAATAATGCAAGTTCTTACTCTAAGATATGTAACAATAAAAATAATGTTAAACATAATTCATATAATTATACAGATAGTCCCTGAATTAGCTTGAAAATGATTACCGTGTTGTTATATAGTTTCTACAACAATATTTGTCAGACCGTGTATTTTAAAACGTGAAAGACGCTAACTTTATCTTTCGCTACATTAAAACTTTGATTGAAACTTCACTGAAATATAATATTAAATGTTTAAAGTATGGTGAAATTAATTTATCGTCAGGCGATTGGTTTGTTTGGAGAAAAGCCGCAATCGCTATGAAGCCCTTTAATCCTTCTCTCAGCTGTGTCTATATACATCATAAGCCGCCAGGCGGAGAAACCAATTAGTGTTAAGCCTACACTGTCAAGAGTGTGGTTGTCAGTGTCTTTATTACACGAACCAGTAGAGAAAGATGATTAGACCAGAAAACAACTTGTTTTCGGCATGTGATACTTGTTTAGCTGGAAAACATGAGCAACCTTAAATGTGATACTTCCCTTGCGTCCTTGTTTCCGTTTTAGAGCTAACAAGAGTATTAGAAACGAGTCTCTTGAGGCCTACCTACCGACGTAATTAACAAACATGATCTGGAGCTAGGTACAGCTGATCGTTAAATATCCAATAAATATCAAGAACGATGCTAATAAAACGCTGCTTCGTTGATATTAATCACTCGTGAATGAGACGTCCCTAAGAAATTTGCTGCATGTACAGAGTTT